AAAGATTAATTTTAAAAAATTACTCAGTTGTTTAGAATAAAGGAAAGAGCAAGGACATTTTTGGTAGAAATTTTCTTTCTATCTAAGCAAAGCAGATAACAATTTAATTGGTGAAATTCTAGCTCTCAAAACAGCAAAACTTCCCTTGACTACATTAAGGCCAAGACTTCATTTGAAGACTAATCCGAAAGCCACTGACCTTCTGATCAGTTTTTAGTGAGGGTTATCAGACTCTAGTACTAGATCATGCAGCATGTTAATTCAACTAGCTCATGGCATTAACAAAATTATTCAGCTCATGCTTAATGTAAGCACAATAATGCAAACTGGTTTTGAAAGCAGAGTGGAAAAAGACCACAGACATTTTGAAAACAATTTGGAATCTCAGTTGCAAACTTGTGCTCTCCTCCCATTTTCCATATCTGAACACATATACACATATTTTACTCAACCAAGGGGAAAATGCTACTTACTTAAAAGACTGATGATGATGTCTTTTCAAATTCTTCCCAACACTGCTTACTTCTATCTAAAAGAACACAAAATATTAATTATAATAAACAAAATATTACAAGGTACATTTATTAAACCATTTCAACTCATAGTTTAGAAGATTACAGCTGCAGCTTGTTGCATCTCCTCTGCACTAAAGAGAACAGTGTCACATATCTAAGGTATGTCAGAAGAATGTAATGGAAAACACTGCCACTGGTCTGTCCTGGCCAACTGTGAATGATGAAAAATAACAAAAATAGCACAGACGTTGCCTACTTCAGCTACTTCATTCCTGTGTTCAGTTACAAGCCAACTCTACTTTGCTGAATGCTGTTTTGCTTTCACATAGCAGAGATGCTAAATGAAGAGAATATTGATCTCCTCAAGAAACTTAGGAGCTTACACAGGAAGAACGGCCATAAAGCTAATGTAATAGGCCATGATTTAAAAAAAATCTGTGTTCAACTCCTCTTCCTACAGGAGATGCACTTTCAGTAGACTTTCAGTGTTAGAATGGTTAAAGGAATCCAGACGCCCGAGAAGGAAGACCAGGTGAGATTTTCATACATGTTGGTATTGTAAAAGTTGCCTAAGGACTCACAAAACAACTCTGCAAAATTTGCCTAGGTATTCTTAGGGATTAATCTGCATCTTCACATGCTCTTAAAATCTGTCTCTTAATTTCTCGATACGTCAATTTCTCCACTTTCTGTAATTTATATATTTTGACTCAGATCATGCTGGACTAAATGTATCTAAATCAGTTGAAGTGAAATAACCCTAGAATCACAGTGTCATTTAGGTTGGAAAAGACCTTTAAGATCATTGAGTTCAACTGTAAACCTAACACTGCCAAGTCCATCACTAAACCACGTCCCTAAGTGCCACATCGACAAGTCTTTTAAATACCTGCAGGGATGGTGACTCAACCACTTCCCTGGGCAGCCTGTTCCAATGCTTGATAACCCTTTCGGTGAAGAAATTTTTCCTAATATCTAATCTAAACCTCCCCCAGAACAATTTAAGGCCATTTCCTCTCATCCAATCACTTAATGCCTGGGAGAAGAGACTGACACCCACCGCACTACAACCTCCTTCCAGGTAGATGTAGACAGTGACAAGGTCTCCCCTCAGCCTCCTTTTCTCTAAACTAAACAACCCCAGTTCCCTCAGCTGCTCCTCCTAAGACTTGTGCTCTAGATCCTTCACCAGCTTTGTTGCCCTCCTTTCAACACTAAGTCCCTAAATAAGGAGATTCTTCTGTACCTTTTGAGGATTTTAGTATTTAAAAATGTACTACAGGAAGACATGTCAATAAAATGGAACTGAACTACAGCTTTATCTGTTCCAGAGAATGGCTCCAAGTACTGAAATATTTTAAAGTTTGGTCGTACTTCCTCTTTTTTTCACAAGAGTGCTCATTAAACTCTTCATGGTTCCCTTATTTTGTCCAGAACTAGAAATTTATTGACCACAGGTTTTATCTCACACATGAATAAATTCATTCTACTCTCTGATGGAAAAATATTTTTTCTTAATCTAATTGTACAACCAATCCTCAACTTTCCAACAAGTCAAGACTAATATACCCTGTATCAATATTGACAGTAACTTTCGCATTTGCACCTGGAGCTGAGCTTCAAAATCCATAAGCTCTTCCCCTTCCCGTCAACTTATAAATTATGACTACAACTTAAGCAAGCAGAAAAAGACAGTTCCGATTCTATAAAACATTTTTTACTTTTCCTTTTAACAATGTATTTAAAAGTATATTATATTAAAATTAAACACATGTTTCTACCTCATTTCCTTGCAAGACAATCAATCTGCTCACCACTTACATACTTAAAAAAGGTGGAGTGCAAGAAGAACAGCGGTAGTTTAGCCTGTACATTGCTCTCTCAGTACAGCATTGTTTCAGCTTATCAGTCATTTACCTCATACTTTATATTTGCTTAGTTGTTCTTGCCATTAATTAGTAATTATTTTTACAATTCAGAATGTAATCTATTCAATCATTTTCAAGGAGAAAGAAGTTGAGAAACAGTAGACTAAGGTTTTTTAATATTTTCATACCCTAATATCCTAATACCTGGAGATTCAGACAAGAACTTGGGTAGGGAGCCTGCATTTTCAGAGCTGCTTTTGGAAGGTTTTGTGAAAAAACAATTGTGATTTGTTAAAATGTAAATTATGTATTTTATCTACTACAGATGGATACCACTTTTTTTTTTGTCTTTTAATGGTAGTCAGTTCTATGCTACTTTGTCAAATTAGCAAAATTTGGAAACTGCTCATGCCTCCTGTTGGCTAACACATCTAGGCAAGAGACATGCTACTGTACAGAAGCCTAGACACTTACATTTTCATATCATAACAGTAAAAAACACCTAAGTCTCCAACTGCAAAGTCCCTCTGAGCTATTCACACCGTGTAACTTAAAGTATCTACATAACATATCTAAGCCAGGAGTCCTGGTTGCCTGTATAGTTAATAAAGTCTCTGGAGAGAAACAGTGTGCCAAGATAGCTACTGAATACACAGTAATTCCGGGCTCTTCAGCATCTAAGTTGATTTTCCAAAGTTGGATGGTCTGAACATCCCTGGGCAATGTCTAGTTTTAGATTTTTCATTCTTTTGCTATGTGAGTATGTACAAATTACAGTATTTTTCTCAGCCTCAGCTGAGGGGTTTGTCAGAGGTGTAATCAAATCAGACCAATCTCGGCCTTGATCCTGTAATTCAGTAGCACACATACCTGTCCACCCTTAAAGGAGAGATCCAATCGAAACCACTGCTTCAGAGGAAGGCTGAAGCTAGTTTTCACTGCAAGGTCATCTCCTCTCATGAGATGCATCTGAACATGCACATAACCTGACAGAGCAACAAAGGAAGAAAAAGGAAATTAACACCACAGAATTATCAATACTAAGAATGGGCTTGCTAATGCATTATTCACAGCGATTCTGTCTTCTTCATCCTATTCCTCACCAACAGAGATCTGAGCACTCGCCAATCAGCTCTCAGAGAATCCCAGGGACACATGCTCCACATTTCAGTTACACATCCCAGATGTTAATGCCCAGGCTCCTACATGAAACCACAGACTCAAAACCAACTGTCTGAGGGATAAACACACTAAATGTAAGGCAAACAGGGAGGGTGCCACAGCTGATCTCCAACACCAGAAAGCAGACATGACTTGGAGCAAACAGCAGAGGTGAACAGCTGACAGTGGTACCCAACACTCAACTGCTACCATGTGAGAGAACAATGATTAAGTGCAAGATGACTCTACCCTCCACTACTTGGACCTGCAGAAGCTAGACTCATGGTCTAAGCTCTTAAGACCAGAACAGACTATCATGTTAATCTAGTCTAACACTGAGAACAAAACTAGCCCTAAAATCTCTCCAAGCAAATCTCATATTAAGCTGGTAACTTCCAGTTGAGCTGCCATTTTTGTTTGTTTTTCAAAGAAAAGCATCCAGTTTATAATGGATAGATTACTTATCTAGATTGGTGACAAGACAGAGAAAATGGAAATAGCAAAAATAGAAGAGAGGAAAAGATTACTTATGAAACTTGCAAAAAAGGGAAAAAAAATGTAACGTCTTATGAGAAAGCCAGGTGTGCACTTTTTAAACTCTGCACACCTATCTCCTCTGGGAGCCTGCGAGCCAGCCCCCAGCTGCTTAATATCATTCTCTATCAGAGGCTGAAGAGCTGTCTTCTGGCAGGAATGTTCCTCCATTGCAAGTATTGCTACACTAAGACAGTGCTACCTCTTAACTTTTTTTTTGGATCAGGGAAACAGACTGTGCTTCTTGAACATTGCAATATAGGCCAGATCTTGAATCGTTTTGACTTTTTCTGAGGTTATTTCCAATTTAAAAAAAAATTCATGTAGTATCTATATAAGAATTGAGAACAATATTAAAATAATAATTCAATAACAATAACAAAGGTTGTTCATTGAGATAAGACTGTTTAATCTCAGTGCATGTTCCTGACCTGTAAGATTCAGTCTATCCCCCTGACAAAGCAGACATTTTCTAAAGTTAGCCATGCAACTGTTTCTCATTTTACCCTATTAATTTAGTAGCTACTTTCCTACTGAGACACTACAGTCAAAAAGAAGCATTTTGCAAGGGATCAGTTTCACAAAATAGGAGTGATAAAATATTTATAAATGTTATTCTAGGCACAGATCTATAAAGCCTATATTAGACTCCTTCTGAAGGCTGTTAATAATATCCCTTACCTTCCTCATTTAGAAATACAGCAGGAGTACTATACATTTCTTTTGGATCAATAAAATAGAGGATACCACACAGATCCTTTTCACAGTGACGGAGTAAATATAGCCAGATGGAAACAGTGAACCTGCATGAGCAAAAATAAACAAAAAATCCACTCCTGATGAGAAATCTCCTTATATAATTTGAAAAGTGTGCATTTCACTTCAATTTAGCAAGCCTGTTTCACACATGTAATCTTCAGAACAGAACCACATCCTCTGCAGTGAAAATCTTCAGAGCAACAGTACACAAAGAGTCTTGGATCTGTGATCCCCTTTTAACAGTGCACTTTTGTGGTAACAACATGAGAGGAGAGTAAGAGAGTGTTATCTGAACCAATTCCAGAATGCTGGGTCAAAGCTACTGCCAGATCCCACATCAACAGGCGACTAAAAACACAACTGAGACAACTTGGAGCCAACCTCCTGCATGCAGGCTACAGTATAAAATCCCCAAATGCATGGTCTTGTAATCTTGGTTGTGGAAGCCAGTAAAAACTAAGCTGTGTCTTCTATACTAAATGCCAACTGTGAAAATGTGCTTGGGAGAAGCAGTTAAAAATGAAGCCAGCCTCTGGGTAGTACAGATAGGTATGAATAGGTGTCACAGAGCTATCACAGGATAAATAAAGGTGGAGCCTGTGCAAACTATGGAGCAGCACAAAATAAAAAATTGAAGACTTGACAATGCAGTCTACTTGGAAATTTCTGCACAAAGCTCGCTGAGGCACTAAAGCAGAATTCATACCACGGCATCTAACTTTAAGGAGATCCCCTGTGCCAGACTAAATCTGCTTCAGTGCTCTTAACAGCAACTTGACCACTTATTTCCATAGCGTTTCCACAGCAGTTAAGCCAATGCTGAACACCTCTGAAAACTGTATCTCCAGTGTACAACACAGCAAAGCATTACAACTACTATCCTCTCTGATAACGAAGTTCTCTTTTCTTAGTGACTTTTAGGAGATATTCTGACTCATTTCACATCCCCCACTGCTGCAGAATGCCATACAGCATGCATAGTCCCTTACAGTCCCAGCCCATTCTTGCTGCAGGCTGCTCACTGGTAGCCTCCTCAAATGACAGTTGTCTATCTCCAGTCGTCTTTCGTTACAAATTCCTGACTGAAGTCAAACAAGTAACTTCAGTTAGATCCATCTGTGTCTGATGGCCTTTTGGTGCAGTGGGGAACCACCACTCAGATACAGAAAGCTGAGGGAAAACTCTCCTCCTTTTCTTAACAGAGCTACCCCAGGCTGCCGTGCAACCACAACACACAGGCAACACTTTATGTCAACACTAGAGACACCACCCGAGGGCAAGAGAGGGTGGAACTGTGTGGAGCAGGTAAAGAGCTGCTCCACATAAATAAATAAATGCCACATATCCTCAAGCAGAGCTCAAGCACCTCAGTGCCAGAAGCAGAATGCATCTGTGCCAGTGAGCAAAGGGCAGCAGGCTATGCAAAACAGGCTGTCACCCATTCTGAACAGGCCAGGAGCTAAAAATTGCTCTGTACTTACGACTTCAAAGCTACAGTTCAGAGACTAGTAATTTGTACGTAACTTGCGCTATCTGGCAAGTCTCCTTTGGCACTCTACTTGTGGCCACAGGCCTAACACAAACCAGCAGGCAAGTTCCAGTTCCTGCGATCATTTCCTATTTCTGTAATAATGTTGCTGGGGTAACAGTATCTGTTGGAAGGGAGATATATTTATGTATCTCTCTATATACTTTTTCCTCTAAAGTTGCTGGTGGAAAGGAGATATATTTCTATATCTCTATATACACTTTTTCCTCTAAAGTTGCAAAATATGACTGAAGAATTATGACAGTTTTGGGAAGGGGGAGATGAGTAGAGAAAGATTGTAGAATCATAGAATAACTTAGGTGATCTTCCCAGGGTGATATTTCTGTAACTGAATAGTGTGCAGAGGCTAAGAGCTTTTACTCCCGTCCAACTAGAAGAGTTTACACAGGGATGATGGAAGGAAATAGTGTAAGCTCAAACTGGAAGACTTACCTAGACAGGGCACTCTACCACTAAGGGCTTGTCAGCTGCAAAATAAACTTGAGTGTGAATTTATAGGGAAAAAGCTGCTCCACACTGCTTGTCCTTGCAAGAAACCCTATTCTGTACTTGGTCTGCAAATTATGTTTGAAATGCAGATCTCTTTGTAATGGAGAAAACCCCAGGATAGTTAGTCATGAGACAGCAGTCTGATCATGACAGCACCTAACAGCTAACTTACCCTCCAAACTGTACCTAACCAGCTCAGTCACACCTGCTATTGGTATCTTTTACACAGCACTGCACTAACATGTACTCTAAGTATCCTTCTCAGGTTCAGCTTAATCCTCTCCAAAACTGAAATCAGAGAACAGAAGGAACTGCTAACTAGTTTCCTTTTGAGCCTTTTCTCAACTTCGTAGGCAGTATTCCTTTAATTTGTGATACAACCTAAGAGTTTAAGTACATTCTACAGCCTTCAATAATCAGTTACAGCCCGCTTCAATTATTTGCCTATACTTACATGGGATAATCAATCTGATGTCGTCTGACTGTTTCAAGTTCTCTGTTTTCAAATTGTTCAAATTTCTTCACAACTCCTGTTTTCTCCCCACTGGAGGCGTATATAAAGTTGAGAATCTGGACACCATCTGCAAAATACAATTGTTCTTAATCTGCCACACAAAAAGCATTGATAACTAATTAACTAGCTGACACTCGTACAGTCAAACATTTGAATCACACAACAGATCAAAAATCAACACAAACCTTCAGCAAGTCCTTAAACACAAATTCACTCGCTGTTATTAAAGACATTAGTCTTGGACTGAATAACCCATAGAAAGTGAAATGGAGTCCATTTCCAGTGGGTATTAGAAGCAGGGAAAGAACAGAATCATTTAAATTTAAGACACTTAAAAGACATAAATAAACATAACATAAATAACATTTATGTTATTCACTTAAATCTCATCCTATCTTTGGTTATGCATATATGACATTACTCCACAGCTCTTGCACTTGCTTTCCATTTTCAGTTCTCCAGTTTATATTGTATGTATGGATAGGTACCAATTCGGTTCTTAACTGATAAACATAATCCTGTAATAAATCTGATAAAGCTGCCCCTGCTAAGAAACAGGAAAAAGATCTTCAAGACAATGATACACTGTCAGCTTTCCTAGAAAAATCTCGAAAGAAAAAATAAACCAACCAAAACAACTAAACCCCGAGCAATTTTTACAAGCTTCTTTTAAAAACCAAATATGAATAAAATGTTATTTCCTCCTATTTCTTGTTATACTGTTTTCATCTAGAATATAATTAGATAATACATAAGATGTTTCACACTGTTGTCAGAGATTACATGCTCTGTCTTCAACAAGTATTTTAGAAAGCCCCTGAAGGCAGCAGTATCATTGCTTCCCTGTTCATCTTCAGAGCATTTACATGCCAACGTAGTGAAAATAAATGACACAAATACTGTTATGGGATTTTCTAGGACAGAACCCTTTAGAAGCAAATAACCTTTTTCCTTTTATGTTCTGCTTTGAACATATACTGAAGACAAAAAGAATTGTCAGCAGGTTTAAAACCAGAGGTAGACAGAAAAAAAAAATCAGAACTCTTGAGAAAATCTGGAAAGCAGAGTTTGGAGTTTCAGTAATTTATACAGCTGGCAAGACAATTTTTATTTAAAACTATTACTTTTTAAAACAGAAGTACTGGGCAAAAGAAATAAGTACTATAAAGTTTATTGCACAATGAAGACTTAAACATGTTTCTGAGTGTGTGGCCACGATCTAAAGCAGAAGTAGACTTACCTGTGTGAGAATCACATATGTAAGAACTTCAGGACTGACCCTGAAATAACTCAGTGAGGGACTGAACAACTCTGAAGACAAAGAAACTATGTCCACTGACATCAGTGGGTTTTAAATACAGTTGTTTGAATACACTTAGAAAATGGAAGGCCATGCTGCTACAAATCTCCAGGATGGCTGTGATGAAACAAGCCAGCTCTGAAGGACATGACGGTTTCAGTCATTTGCAACTCCAGCCCCACAGTTATGAATCTTACTTATTCAACAGTGTTTGCCAAGTAAATCATTCTACATAACACTTGCTGTTTACTACAGCCATGCACTTTTTAACAGCTTACCAAAGATGTTATTTGGGTCCCATTAGCTTCCTTGGGGAAAAAAGTGACGTTACACTTACCACTTTCATGAGGGCACTGAGGTATCCTGTTTGCCTGAAGCATCCGCAAATAGTCAGCACCCCACTGAAGACAAACTTTATGGTCCTTATATGGGCGTTCAAAAGGTGGAACTGCTTCTAAAAAGGTGTAATTCTTGGCAACTGCATCCTGGTAGTCTTCATTCTGCTCAACATCATAGGAGCTACCTGACTTGTGACTAATCCATGCATATAATATCACACTGTGCACTATTACTGAGTTTCTGATGATATAATCATCTCTGTAAACCATGATGCTTGGAAATTTCAAATGTACTTGTCGAGTTCTGCTAACATAAAGGTTTTTCTCATCCTTCCATCTCCTTCTATACACTGGTACACCAGTCCTGAACTCGGAGGAAGCTACTGCTTCCAAGCTGACGATACAAGGCTTAGAACATAAGTACTGAACTGAAACCTCAGAATTGTTAAGAACTTTCTTTTCTAAAATGTTTAAATGAATGAAGTCCACATAATCCATGTTTTGTTCAAACTGTGGAGTAACTGCCGTTGTCCGTAATGTCTCCTTTCCAAAGGACAGCATAAAATTCTGCAAAAAAACCCCAACCCCAAAACAGAAAACATGTTAACCAGAGAACCTAAGTTTACATGACTATTAACGTACTCACAGCAAGAACAGAACACTGCACAAGAAGGTTTATGTAAAATACTCCAACTCCAAAATACCAGGGTGCTTTCACACAGCAAGTAGATGTGGATTACTGGAGAGCTACCTTCAAGGTTTTAATGGTAACAACTCCCCTACAACAAGTTCTCAAAGTTACACATACTTCTACAAACATTTACAGGGTGTATCCTTCGGCCTCTCTGCAAGTGGAATCCGGTCCAAGATACTAAATTACATGTCATACTATTTACACATGTGTCCAGAATCAGGCCTAAAAAGTGTACACTGAAATGTACCAGCATTTAGTCATCGCCTTGTTCACTTGTGCTGTCACAGCCTGATGCTTCTGTATCTTTTTAAGAAGTTAGCCAAGTTTGTTACATCTCGCGCAGGTACCTGAAGAGCAGAATAACAACTAAGGCACCTCACAATGGTTTCCTGAGAATGAATTCGTTTTCATAAAATGTTTAGGAGCTTATTACAGAAACATTCCTGTACTGAAGACAGACTTACAAACCCGAGCAGCAAGACCAGCAGGCAGCATTCGCTCAGTTTTTGCTCTCTACAGCTATGTACTTTATAATATATTTTGAGAGTGAGGGCTTGGACATACACCAGGATTATCCTCCACGCTGAAGTTCTTGTCTCTAAGGCTTCAAACAGCTTCTTTTCTTTCTGCTCTGCAGTCAGTGTCCGGCTTGATGCACTGCCAAGGATACTGAGGATTTCTCAGCTCGGAGAGCCAGCCACCAGCACAGCACTTCTGCCAGGTCCCCTGATCCATCTAAAACATTCGGAATTGTCACTTGGGATCACCAGGGAAGCTGGGCATTAAGACTGCTCAAAATGAGATGTCTTGGGTGACTTTTAACTTTGCTAAGCTTAAGCAAATGGAACTGAAATTTATCTTGGATATCTACCTTGGATTGATGGCTTTTTCACTGTGATTCTCAAAATATTTAAAAGCTTCAGCCAAGTTGTTAGTACATTTCTAATTTGGAACTATGTGTCACGCACCTGGAGGACAAGACCTTGCCCACGATCCAATATGGGGATCAGTAAAAGTCCCCAATGATAAACTATTTTTCTTATTATTTCTTAAGAATATGTTGACACTCCTTGAGAGCTACACTGAAAAAACATCAAGCCAGCAAAACCTGTGAGGGTGTAAATATTAGGAAAAGTCAGAATTAACTTTATGTATACTAATTCCTTCTTCCTTTAGATGAGGTTATAGGATTTAACTATGTGATCAAATGCTATTTTCCCCCACTGCCTTAAAGGCACAAAAAAGCTCTACAGTTTCAAGTGGAACACAACTGTGCAGAGAAGAGACTGTTTACCCTAAGACCTTGCCTTTATTTAAGGCAGAAGCTGGAAGACATAACTGAAGGAGTGAACTTTTGGATGAGAAAACTGGATACCATTGCCAGCAGCGGGGTAACTCTAGATGACTAGATTTATTTAGGGTCTGGGACTGGCATGGTTCAATAACAGAGATGCAGCAGTTGGCCATCTGCCTTGCAGTGAACGGCAGAAATTCTGTGGTGTGGAGCCCGAGGTAGTAAGCTCTGCAACCCAAAGACAGTTGCTTGCAGAACAAACTACATGACGTTCCTAGAGCACTTAAGCAAGATGTATTGTGACTGCTGATGCATAAGGTTAGCTTCAGCCGTGCTGGTCTTACTCCTGCCTTTCCCTTAGTGTCTGTTCTGCTAAATGGCTCCCACAGAGTTACTCAAGAACCCTTTCTTTGTATCCTTTGGTGTCTGGGTATTGGCTGAGACATGTGCTCTAGAAAGGCATGAAGCATGTTTGGCTCTGCTGCTACATCCTTCAGGGGCACGGTGCAGAGACCCCCCTGAGCAACCCCACAATGCAGCCGTGGCAGAAACCGCTGACTAAACTCTTCCAGACCATGTCTGAGTCTGTTACCACTTGGTTGCCTCTACACAGTGCTATCCAGTGCACTGCATCTGCCTTATCTAAACCTTTCTACTCAGTGAGGAATGGTAGTTCTTCCATCCCCATTATCTCAGACAACGCAGAGTTAATTGTGCATAATCTCCAACTCCAGAGGGCGAGGATGAAAGGATTACACAATAAGTGTGATTATGAGATTTAAATATAAAAGTTTCCCAGTATAGGAAAGAGTCCAGCTATGCTGGATTCAAAATGTTACCATAAACTAGGCGAGTTCAACATGAAAGGCATAGAGGCTTCCTTGTGTGCAGCAATTTAACCACAAAAGCCATCAAAGTTTTTTTCTTGTTCTTTTTCTTAAAACTTAAGTATCTTAGTATTAGAGGAATGATGAGAAATCGTTCTTTCACTCACTGGACTAAGATCTCGGCAGGACTCTCCCCGAGTTCAGCCCAGCAGAAATTCCACATAACCCTGTGAAACTGCACCTGTTGGCACATGCTCTGGAGACAGCGCTGGTCCTCGCCTGTGAACGCCTGCCACGTCACCCTACATTTTAAGGTGTGTGAAAAGGAGACACGCCAAAAAGCGTGCCCATCTCCCAGTCAGCAACGATATCGTACAGGTGTGCAGGGGCTTTAACCGGAGTTTGTGTTCAGCAGCATAAGAGAGGGAAAAGTAGTTTGGGAAATGCCCCTAAATTGCAGCTGGTTCCACACGCCGGTGCGGCACCACACTCACAGGGACATCGGTAAGGGATCGCCAAAGGCTCCCCCTGCTTCCAAACCCAGAGACTTAATGTCACCTAGGACAGGAAGCTCGTTAACAGGAGATCTAACGACCTGGCGTTCCCTGTCTGGAGAAGGCAGCGTGACCCTGGGGGCTGGA